AGTTTACATTTGTATCTGCTAGTCACCAGTTATTTATTGGTTGTCAGAGGAAGGCTTCAATCAGTTATCTCCTTCCCCACAGATAACAACAATAATAAAGACAACAACAACAACAACAATAATAATAATTAGAGTCTCTTTAGCGATTGTTACGCCGACCATCTCTTCCTCTTTCTTTGACTCTCTTCCTCTCCTCCTCCTCCTTCCTCAGAACTCCTTAAGAACAGAAATGTCGATCCATCTCTCGTCTTCCACCAACGCCACCGGCGACCCGTTGTACCACTGCTTCGACAGCGCAAATATTTACATCTCCGTCGCTTTCACCGCGACCAAAGTCGTCGTCCTCCTCCCTCTCACCATCTACGTCTTCTCCCTGGGGCACCAGCGATGGCGGCGGCAGCAGCGCTCCTTCAAATCAACGAGCCACGCCGATGTCTTCACCTTCCACATGGCCGCCATGGAGCTCATCAACGTGGCGGGTTGGTGCCTCTACTGCTGCGGCGCTTACGTAGATCTCCCCGAGCTGATGATGGCGGGGTTCTACGCTTTCTTCATCATCTTCCCTGGACAGATCTTCCTCCACATCCTCACCTGCGTGGAGCGCTACCTGGCGGTCGTTCACCCCGTCACCTACCGGGGTCTGAAGCAGTCGGGTGGGGTCAGGATCAGAAATATGAGCACTGGGTGCGTCTGGCTGCTGTGCTGTGGGTGGAGCGGCGTTACCGTTCTGTACCGGCCCGACATGCCCATCGTCCCGTTCTTCGGCATTCTGATTTTCTCCCTACTCGTCGTCTCCTTCTGCAGCCTCTCGGTTCTGCACATCCTGATTCGCCCGGGCCCGGGGGAGGCAGGCAAGGACCGGGTCGACCAATCGAAGCAGAGAGCTTTCTACACCATCGTGGCCATAATGGGAGTGCTGTGGCTGCTGTTCGTCGGGTTCCTCGTGTGTCTTTCTCTGGATGCCTCCCCACTGCTCAGCGACGCCGACGGCTGCGTGGTGATGCTGTCGGCCATCTGGTTCAACCTGCCCAGCAGTCTGGTGTCGCCTCTGCTGTTTCTACACAGGGCGGGAAAACTGCCCTTTTTCAGTTCGAATGCTGGTTAACGTAAAGTGTGCAACGCTCAATGGGCAGAAATGTAATATTCACTGGTTTCATTAGCGTATGATCACCTGAGGATAATATTTATTGTGTTTTATTATAATGAGACATTTTTAATCTACAGTCGTCTTCTGGCCTGTAGCGCCGTGTGCTACCAGCTGTAGTGGATCCATTAGCTGACTGAATGCAGTTTGACGACAGGGAATAAAGTACTGAGGTGGTTTTAATATTGACACCTCACGGTTAAGTCAGCTAACGTTAGCTGCAAGAGCTAACTAGCTAAAGGCATCTAACATTACTGTTAGCGTCAGTTAGCTTGTTTTAGCATCAAATCCATCTGTAAACTCCATAAATCACCTCGGTACCGCTCCTCTGTCTGTCCTCTGTCTGTCTGAGGTTGTGTTCACTGGAGGCTGCTGAATATAGTAAATAAAACCTTTATTAGAAGGTACAAACACATCATAATTAAACAACCTGTAACTGTAAGAGCACAAAAACATTTTCTTCCTGATGATATTTTGTTGTTTTCAGTTGCTACGTTCAACTGCGAATCCATTTTCTTGATTTTCGCTCGCAGTGAACAAACATTATTAATAACTTCTGTTATTTGCTGATGATTCAAATCTTGTTGCTTCACACAAACATTTTAGCATCTGTTTCTATTTCTAAATGAACAAACTCTCTAAACATAAATAAATCTAATTTTATGATATTTTGTAACAAAAAGAAAAAGTCAGAATATTAATCTTTGGTTCCTCACATTAAATCAACAGGGAAACATC